TGCTCTTAACCTTATCTACCCTCTTCATCAATTTGTATAAAAGAGACAGTACCAGGTATGAGCCCTCACATCATCATTCTCATCTCTCTCTCTCTCTCTCTCTCTCTCTCTCTCTCTCTCTCTCTCTCTCTCTCTCTCTCTCTCTCACCCGAAGACCACCCCTGTGCCGTGCTGTACTCCAAGCCCAGCCAGCTATGGAAGCTGGGCTATGGCGCTGCCCTCAGCAGTGCCCCTCTTCCCACATGACCACACGTGCACAGCACCTTGCCCCTAGCGCTAGCGGCAGCACGTGAGCGTCCGCTCCAGCAACGCTGCCGTAAACTGGCAAGTGCTTGAATTGGCCTCCAGGCAGCGAGCTCTTTCCTATATGGAAAGAGTCTGCCTGGCCTTCGACCTGGCTGGGCTGGGCCAGCGCCCAGAAGCTTCCGGTAGGCCCCAGGTTGCTGGGCCTCTGCTGATGCTGCTGGGCCTCGTTCAGTTACTCCTCCCAACTGTCTGTGTATACTGCTGCGAATGTGGCCCAGGGCCTGCACTTCAGAAAAGGCCTAGAAGGCCGTGGAAAATCTTTGCTGCTCGGGTCCTGGGTTCCCTCAACCAACTGACGCGACACAACTGCCTGAACCCCAAATACGAAATTGACAGGATTGGGCCTCTCGTGATTTGTTAGGCCTGACTTCACTTAGGGGCGGGCACACTTGCATCATGGGCCCTCTACATCCCACAGGCAGTTCCAGATACACTCATGATACACTCCACAGCTATTGTAAATGGGACGCTGGACCCGTTTTCCAGCAGGTGCCGCTCCCCACCAATAGATGGAGCCTCTCCCCAGGTGTTAGTGGTGGCTGCTTATACCAGCATCACTAACTGTGGAGGGGGTGTTAAAAAAAAAAAAAAAAGGCCTGCCGAGGAGCCTTATCCTTGCACACAAAGTGAAACCCAAAAAAAATCTGTGCGGCCTGATGCAAAACACCCAAGATGCGCAGAATCGAAAAACAAAATGCGAGGCACAAGGCCTCGATAAGCCCCACTGGGCCCTATTTGCAACAGCGTCGGCCGCCCTAAGTGAAGGCAGGCCCGACAGACCCTCAGAGGCCTATTTTGGACTACTTCGCAACTGGGGAAATTCAGGCAGTTGCGCTGCACCAGGTGGTTGGAAGCGCCCAGGCCCTGACTTCCTTTATCAAATGCATCTGAGTCAGGCCCTGGGCGAGATTCGTAGCATAGGCCCAACTCAGGTTGCGGGCAGTTGGGCACAGGTAACTGTCRGCAGCCCTGGGCCAATTCGTTTGGACTGGGCCTCAGCCTACTGGGGCCTACCGGAAGCTTCTTGGGAAAGGCCCAGTGCAGCCTGGGACAGAAGGCAGGCAGGCCACTTCCATATAGCAAAGGGCCTGCCTCCGCATTGGACATTCGGGTGCTGGCTGCATGCTGCGCAAGCGCTGCTGCGCTGAAGCTGGCTAGCGCTCACGGGCGAGCTGGAAGGAGCAGGCAGCCATAGCTGAGCTGCACTGCTGGGAGCTGGGTGAGGCGCAGGGTGGTCCTTGGGTGCAAGTGGCATCTGTGAGTTGGGGAACGGGGTTGTGAGTGATACGAGAGACATACCTGGTGCTAAAAGCGACGGCATTGTCCGAGATCTGCTCGTACTTCGGTGAAGCTGTTGACGTCATCTGGCGGCATTGTAGAGTAGGCTAGATAGGATCTGCCATCTGTAGTCTGGGCGCTGAGCGCCAGATAGGATATCAACATTGGTTCTTCATTGATGATGATGATGAGACTATACCAGCATTGTCAATTATGAGCTCTTGGTGTGTTCTTAT